GAAAAATAAAAATAAAATAGATTTATGAATGATTTTATATTTTTTAAATATATTTTCTGTTTGAATTGTAAAATAGATTGAATATTATTATATTATACATAGTATATATTTCAAGGTGTTCAAGACCAATTTAACTACAGTGGTACTATTATTCAGCATGCTTATTGATGCATCAAACTGCTGTCTATTGTCAGTGTTGTATTGTCCCACATTAACCAACAATTGATGAAAATTGGATGTTCTATTAAGACCCAGGTTGGAAAAATGGCTGTCAGATCAAAACAGTAGGATGTTAAACCCCATTTTATTCACAAAAAGAGAACCATCTTATATGGAAATTAACCCCACTTTAAACATATCATGATACTGCTACTTGTTATAATAAGCAAAGGGAACCATCTTGAAATCAACCCCTACCAGAAATCCTGGTACTGCTACACATGGTTAATCAAGGGTTTGTTATTTCTAAATAATAAATATTGCTATACAGATATATAAAATAGTATAATACAATATAAGTGATTTGATGTGTCAATAAGTCATTATTTGTAGTAATTTCCATAAATATTGTAGGTTATCTCCCTTCAACTATATACCTAAACCTACTGCTAACTATATATACTGTACACCTTTTTCTTTTAGACCTGTATTTTTATTCAGCTAGATACAAAAACACTATTTTTTGTGAGTCATAGACAAAATAATGAAAAAATCTGATGCTATAATTAGTTCTTTTGATTTTTTATAAACAATATCTTATTAATAAATGAATAGAATTGGAGAACTGGCATGACCTATTTACCCTTAGACCTTTTCATTAAATTAAAATAGATATTGAAATCTTTCATAATGATTTCAAGGAGGACATTATTGCAGTTCTTTTCCCCCAAAAGGCATAATTCTTCAAACCGTTTCATTGCTAAATCAATAATAAACTATTAAAATCTGAATGATTTTGTAGAAAATAAGGTTGTGACTATTGTGAGCCATTGGAAATTACGAGAAACTACCTACTCTTATGTCTTTCCTTTTATTATATATGTGTATGTATTTTCATTATGTAAGGCACTTGTGACCATATGCAAATTGAAATTCGATATAGGCTCCTAAACTGTAAATCTTCTTTATTTATAAAATAATTTATCCTCACCTCTGCTCATATGATGTACATGTACTGTGTGATTTTATCTTCTGAAAAGACAAAAATAATTGGAAAATTTGGCTGATATTAATTATAAAGTATTAAGAGTGAAGGTCACTGACAATTATACCCAAGAGAGAAATTTTAAAACAAAGTAGACCACTGAGAATAATTTTATAGGCTAAAGATTTGTACTGTAATTTGTATATAGCTAGTTTGACCCTCAAACTTACATTATTAGAGCATGTTGATTTTCAAACTGTATGGGGCCAGGCATTGGTATATTTGTCCATATAACCACAATGACATTTCATCATGTAAGATTAGTTCATTTTCTGTTTGCTTATAAAATATACTGTGCTTTGGCTTTTGATGCATATGGATGACAAATTATTTTTGGATTTTAATTCATATTGGCTATCCATATGCATATGTTTTTACCATTCCTCCATCTAGGTCAATTATAAAATTAAAGATTTAGATTCTTGGTAATATAATGTTGCCTGTTTAATTTTGCAATAATATTTATCATGGATCCTTTTCAAAAATTGTACTTGATGCTATTAGTTGACAGACCTTTAATGTGCATAAACTATATAAAATTATTTATCTTTTTTGATGAGACTAGATGATATCTGTGTCTCAGGGATATACCTCAAAATCATTCAACCATGTAGTCTCATTAAAATACCCTCCTACATGTATTATTTCATGATTACTCAACAGTTCTTTGTTATGCTTAAAATAAATAATAATATATATAAATATGTGTAATATTATAAAATCTATTGTCTATTGTTATGGGGACTTTCAACCAAATTTATTTATGTTGCATGGGTGGTGCTTAATCAGATAGTTCAAATACAGTTCCAAGGGGACCAGGCAGTCTAGATGGACCAAACTGATATTTGCTTACATAACAACATTTTGTAGGAGAGTTGGCTTTTAGGTACCTAAATAAATAGGCCTGCAGCGAGAGAGAGAGAAATGGGGTTTAAGTCCACTTGACACAAACTAGGTCATTTCGGGACTAACACATGGTTTAATTTTATTTCAATAATTCGCTTTAGCAGTGGGAGGAAACCGAAGGACCCAGAGAAAACCCATGAGGTTGGACAGGCAACCCTACTCCTTGTCACGTACAACTGGGGATTCGAAACCATGCCAGTCGACTCAATGACAGACTTTATGATACAGCACGCGCACGCTATCCATTCAGCCACCCAACCCCCCCTAGGCCTGCAGCCAAAATTTCTAGTATGAACTTCCGCTACAAGGTCCCGTACGTACTAAACAAACTACATGTATACATTTTTGGAAAGCTTTTAACACCAGGAACACAAATCCACAGAGTTCCATGGTGATTTTTCGTACAATCACGGTCCATAATCCAGAAAGATACGGCCCTATAAGTGCAAATCGCAAATAAATTGTGACCTCAGTCTAGATGGTCCACAACAGGGCTACCGTCAGTTGCACGGATTTCCGAACTCTAGTCGAACTATCTTCATGCGAATGACATTTTAAAAAAAACCGTATAATTATATCACCGTTACACCATAAGGACGACTGAGTTCGAATTTCGTGAAAATCGGTCCAAAACTGACAGACAAAATGGCCGCCCTTCGTTCTCAAATAGCGTAAAAATATGGTATATCAAGGTTGTGGACCCTATAGAGGTCACGATTTTTATCCGATTTTGTTGAAACTTTAAATGTAAGTTTATAACCTAAAGATCTCGGTTCCTTTCGATATTCGCGCATATCGAACCGTAACTTCCTGAATTATGGCCCCTCGCGTTTTTAGCTTGTGGACCCTATAGAGGTCATAATTTTTATCCGATTTAAAAAAACATATTATTAAATCGCCGTTACACCCCAAGGACGACTGAGTCCGAATTTCGTGAAAATCGGACCAAAAATGACAGACAAAATGGCCGCCCTTCGTTCTCAAATAGCGTAAAAATATGGTATATCAAGGTTGTGGACCCTATAGGTCACAATTTTTATACGATTTTGTTGAAACTTGAAATGTAACACAAAGATCTCAGTTCCTATTGACATTCGCGCATATCGGACCATAACTTCCTGAATCACGTTTTTAGCTTGTGGACCCTATAGAGGTCATAATTTTTATCCGATTTAAAAAAACGTATAAGTATATAACCGTTACACCCTAAGTACGACTGAGTTCGAATTTCGTGAAATTCAGCTCAAAATTGACAGACAAAATGGCCGCCCTTCGTTCTCAAATAGCGTAAAATGCAGAAAGCATAATGGACAATGGAACATACAGAATTTTGGAAATCCATTAACGGTAATAGAGAGTTATCTCCCTTTTTGTCAAATTGGTAACAGTATTTCTGGTACGTGTAGGCTGCTGTTGCTGTATGACCATGTGTGAGCATACAAACCCAATATTTGTATCGTTAATGGGGCCTGCAAGGATTGGTGAGCGGGTGTTTACCCAGAAATTATGGGCGGAGCATAGACAGAATCTGTCCTACCTTGTTTTGTAAATTGCATTGAAACCACGTGATTTTTTCCACTAAAATGTAAACCCACACCCACATATATGGCCCACACCCACGCATGGTGTTCCATGACTTCGCCTTACAATACTGATTCATCATATTATAATGATGTCTACATGTTCCCATAGCAATCAGTTGGTTGATAATGGAGCAGGAACCGAGTATAACGTAATCAAATTTACACAACTGTCAAAGGAACTAGCTTATCGATCTTTGTTTTATTATCGCCCCCAATTTCCTGGTCCAAAAAAAAAACGAAAAAAAACCCCAACAAAATCCTTTCTACTGATATTAGCACTATAATAATTATTATATACAACACTATATTAATTAACATTCAGAAATAATAAGTAGAATTAGCACTTGAAATTCAAAATACGAAGGATACGACATTAAATTATTTATAAATATGGCGCATGTTTACTGTTAGCCTGTGGAGTATAGATTATAAGCATACGTGTTTAAATTAAAATTACAAAATTACAGAATTCGGCCCCAAGAGGGTCACCGTACAGCATACCGTTTGGTGGAACATGTTCGTAATTAGCTTATTACATAACATCTATCTGGGATTTTCTGGCATAATACAGCATGCTTACACCTTGTCACTATTATTGCTACCCAACGCTAGCTTCCGAAGTCCATCACCTCTCTGTGAACGTTTTTGTATACGACTATTTGAAGTTAAGTTGGTCTTACTGTAAATTTGTTTCATATACTCGACCATCTGTTTTGAAGTGAGAATTTCATCTTGACCACTAATTTTTACAACAATATTTTCTTTGTCTTCTCCTTCTGAAATATAGGCCTATAATATAACGTCTGAATACTAAACTTGTTAATTTGGGCATTTAAAAACGTTCTTGCGCAAGTACTTCTAAAAATCCATCTCTAATGGAATGAACAAGAACTGCACAGAAGAATGGATTACTTCTATAAATTTCCCTCGCAGCACACGGCATAGCGCACGCCATTCATCATTTCACCGGTTAGTACAGACGTTAAACCCCATTTCTTTTCATATAATATGCCTTCTATTAATATAAACGTTATGACGTTTATTTATTTTGTGCTTACCTCGAGAAATCAGGTGATCAGATCTTGGTAGAATTGGTGGTTGTTGCCTTGCAGATGGAATGTGAATTGATGATGGTCTATGTGTGTTGGGTGTCGTCGTCTTCAGTTTGTGTGCCTCAACTATGGATTGAAAGGAAGGGTAAATAACGGTATCTGACGATGATGATCCTGCCGATGTTGGTTGTTCTAACTTTACCATAAGTCCTGGAATTGCTCTCGACGCGTTTTTGATAGGCGAAGTCCTGTTATATCGTTTGGATAAAGACCGAAGATATGCATTGTCGACGTCAGATAGAGTAGATAGAGGTGGTGGTCGTTGCTGATAAACAGGTAATATTCCAAGCTTCTCATTGATAGATGAAAGTTGTGATGTTTTCTCTGTGTGGAGTCTGTGGGTTATCGTTTGGAAGTATGGGTGGTCTGCTTCAGTAAGTGGTGGTGGCTGTTGCGCTACGACATTCTGTTTCAGTCCTGTAACTTGACTGCAGACTGATTTCTTTTTGTGGGCGAGCTGTCTTTGATTACGGAACCACGTCTGGAAAACAAAAACGTCACATAAATGAAACCTTCGCACAGATAATGTTGGTGTGGAGAGCTTTTTTTTTTAAATCAGTTTTTGGTCTTTCTTAATCATTTTAGAACAAGTGATACCATTTGACGATGAGAAGATGAATTCGATAAAGATATGACAATTTATCCAGGAAAGCGCCTGTCTGTTGAACATGTTGAATGACTTATTTCACTTACCTTTATAGCAGAAGGGCTGACATTCAGTTTGAGCGATAGTGATTCTATCTGGATAGCATCTGGACATCTACTATACGCATTAAAACTATAATGTAATCTAAGAGCTGTTACATCGTCTATAATCTGAGATGTCTTGTTCTTGGTGGTGGTGTTTCTTTGAGCTGAAAATATGACAATTTAATAAATAAGTCTTCTGATCGCGGAGGGAATATTCATAAACGTTTATCGTTATTTTTTCTTGTATTACAATAGAATAGAAATAATGCCTGGTTTTGTGCGAGTTTCCGAAATACTTGTAGTATCAATAAATGATCATTTAAGTGACATTAAACCGCTTAAAAGATTAATTAGTCGATTATAACTTAGAGTGGCAGGGAAATTACAAACATATTGTGGATCCTTCATGTCGTCTACTTGTTGAAAAATATGAAATCATCGAAACGTGGCTTTGAATAGATTCAGTAGCTGTGTTACGCTTTCAAATTGACTTCATAACTAAAAAACATTACAAACATACCCATTATACTGTCGATCGAATGGTCTGTAAGTTCACAAGCTGACTTCATGGTGATTATCAACAACCGAGTAAAAATATGAATAATTGCGTCTGAAGGGCACAACAGTGGAAGTTAAATATATATCTTGGAACTGGCGCATTGCATTTATATATCAGCCCACAAATAGTTGATTGCCTTGATATCTGATCGGTGCTCTCGTTGAAGATTAAGATAAACAAAACCTATTTTGTTTTTCTGGACACAGTTGTTTTAATAATACAAACAACATACACAGTGTAAAAACGGGTCTATATAAAACTCAATATGATTGTTGTTTTAATCATTTAAACAACATTCCGATTCCCATGATTGACATTGTTACACTTTAAGCATGAAATTATAACACCTTATTGTTGTTTTAGTTATTCAACAAAATTTACTTAAAAAAACAAACTGACTTACTTTACCGTCTCAGTATTAACTCATTTGCATTTATCTTAATCATGACATATCATGGGTTTAACGTCCTACTTTTTTGTGCCAACCGGTTTACTGTTTAAATCTATTTATGATCATAATTTTAAACAATGTATTTATATTTCTGTACATATTTTTTTTTAAGGCAGATGGATTTATATAAGCTACGACTTGTGTAAATAGTAATAGAAAAGAAAACTTTGAATCAGCAAATAGTTATAGAAATAGATTTTTGTCCAGATGGAAACAGTATTTATTCATAAGATTTCAAATATCCCGTGGAAATTATAATGATATAAAACCAGGTATCGACTCGACTTCTTTATTTATATAATCTCGAACTATCGAGTTTTGTTTTCGGGACCCGTTTAAAAAAACAAAAACATAAATTAAATTTGTTCACACATACATATAATCCATCTGAATTAAATAAAGAAAACACTTTAAACTTAATACAATTGTATATAATGATTTCTAACGTATTTTCATTTCATGGGTACGAATTTAATAAAGCAACATCTTTCCCAATTGATAATTGTCATTTATAACTCACTTAACTGTTTTTCTAAATATTAGACAAATTTTGGTTCTCAGAATTCTTGTTAAAATTAAAATAAATACAAAAATAACTAATTCAGATGTTAGAATTTCTTCTTAATTTAACGAACATATTATCAAAGTACTCGGAGTACTTTTAAAAATGCCAACTTAAATGCCACTCAAGCATTGCATAATATATTTACAAAGTTAATGCCGATAACAATCCACGATATGAAATGTTGTGACAGCAATAAATATTCCTTGATATGATTCTGACACTCCAGACAAAATTGACGGAAACCATGCAACATTATTTCACAAATCTTAGTGAATAATTAAATATTTTTCACATATGTGTAGTTAATCACTGAACATAGTATCTCTTGAACATGCATTATATTTTTTCTGCTGTTCGAAGACAAGCTTCGTGAATAAACACCCCATAAATAGATTCTCTTGCAGAGAAATAACAGAGCGGTTTGCATCAATATAATAATGAATGACAATTAAAAAGTAACTGCCGATTAATGAAATCCTTTAAGTCTAATTTTTAACTTTATTTGACAATTCCGCAGAATTTGCATACAATCCGATATTTTTAAATAAATCAAATCTTAATTGCAAAATACTGGTTTAAAGTGATCATAAAGGAAACCATCACATATTAGAAAGATCAAACAGAACAACTCAATGTGGCTTCAAATCACCTAATAAAGGATTAAATGATAAACAATGACATTAATCATGTTTTTATTACGTCTTAATGAATTTACCAATCATCTATTCCTCGAAAGATGGCTGTACTCAATCGCAATCATTATTTGTAGCTTGGGTTTAGATTGCGTCAATTTAGAGGTGGTATATAACGGGGTGAACCAAGGTGAATACATATCACCAATCTTCTTATTACAGTTCACTGTGACATTTCAATCAGTACTGTTCTAATCTAGAGATATATTCACCATGAGTACTTTTACAGTAGCATCAATCCTTGGCCTGGCTGATGATAGTAAGTTGAACTCAGTGTTACAATAATGATTGCTAATATTTAATATAAATTACTATTTTTCTTGAAATCGTTAAATAATCCCATTTCATTCAACAGTTGTAATATTCTATTTTTTTAGCCCAAGAGAAAAAGGCGAGAAGCGCGCCATCTAAGAAGCGATTGAGAAGAAACCGTACAGCTTTTAGTGACACTGCCGTGCAGAGATTAGAAGAAGTATTTTGCATCAACCGCTATCCCGATATTTTATCACGTGAAGCACTGGGAGATGAAATAGATGTATGCGAATCCAGAATACAGGTAGGATTGTTTTTACTGTATTTAGCAGATGTTTAAGGTATTTTCATTTTCAATTTACTGTAAATAATTTACAAAAGGATCCAGACAATGAACCATTCATTTAGTTTAAACACTTTATTCATAAAATATCATATATTACATTACAATTTTTAAAGATTCGATGCAAAAACAAGCTAAAAGTTTATATAAATTTGCTTCATATACGGCTGTGTTACTTCTTTGATAATGTACTTGTTTCATGACGACGACGAAAGTTCAATAATGTAAATAAATAAAGATACATAAATTCAATAATGTAAATAAATAAAGATACATAAATTCAATAATGTAAATAAATAAAGATACATAAATTCAATAATGTAAATAAATAAAGATACATAAATTCAATAATGTAAATAAATAAAGATAAATAAATGAGTAACCACCACGCCAACTCCCTAAATTACATTAGTGATACAGTTAATGTTGAAGACTTATTGTCAATTATTTATTAAAGACGTATTCCAGTCAATCGCAAAGCGTTTCGTTGGTTTTAGGTCAGTAACTGTTGGGAGTATAAGGATACTTAAATATATATGGTCAGATTCGGCATAGAGTTGTTTATTCGAAATGCCTATTAACATTTCTGGGTCATGTGATAAAAACAATATGTTTTATTAGATGTGCATAAATAATATGGATTTTTTATTATCTTTTGTAGGTTTGGTTCCAAAACAGAAGATCTCGTACAAAGCAGCAGAAGCGGTCTAAATCAAGAGGAAATTCTACGCAGGCGACATTACCAGCTGCCACAAACCACCCAAGACTACCAGAACCACAGACAGTATCTAATCAATACATTACAGGGTCACACATCTACCAAACTCCTTGTTATTACCCATATTCATATGGTTATTACCCAGCGTATAATTCTCCGCTGATTAATCCCGCCTTTCTGATGTCACCCTATGGTTATTACCATGCAGAATCAACACCTTCTAGCTTATACTGGACACCAGGCAAGTTTCTTATCCATATTAACTTTTCATGACTGCAATTCCAAATAATCAAACAATATTATGTTTTGCCATCATATGATGGATCAGTTCCGAAAACATTGTTTTATCTTTACCTTTTCAAACTGAGTATACAAAAAATAATAATGACCTACCTTTTTTCAGGGCATGGTTATTATCCATCAACAACAAGTTTCTTTTCATCAGATACCAACAGGCACTCTACCTTCAAACAAACAGAACCAAAGATGGCTACAACAGATCACATGAGTCAAGTAAACGGTATCTCCATACTCACAGAAGCAGCAAGAAAATTATCTTCCGGTTCTTTTACGGACACCTTGGATCTTGAACAGCGTAACACAGAAACGAATAGCGAGAGCAGCTTCTCGGATAATAGTTCATCGTCGAAATCGTTCAACAGTGTTTCCACAGATTCTAGTAATCTACTTGATAACGAAGATGATGATGGCGATGACGAAGATAAATTGTATATTGAGTTGTCAGTTTCTGAAAGTGACAATTGATCACCATGGGTTCTAGATTGTTAATGTTAAATATTATCATCAATGTGCTATTATAATTAGTTGTGTTTGTATGTAAAAAATTAAATTAGTTATCGAAAGTTGTTGTTTGATTTTTCATTTTACGGGCCTGTTTCTTGACAAAAAACTAATACATAAAATAGTACTTACATTCGGGGTCCTGTGAAAAGCAGGGCTTCCTCTTTCAGCGCGATGCTTGTCCGCCCAATATAATGGTGTCGATATAGGCACAAGATGAAACTACCATAGTCTGAGTATCATAGTAGTTAAAACCAAGGCCCTATGAAAACCAGGCGTTACAGTATTTTTTTTTTTAATCAGGCTCTTGACAACAACACTTTTATAATTTTATTGTTCTTCAAACATCACGTGCAAAACTTTTTATAGTTTTATAATAAGCTTGTGTTATGAGGGCCTTGGTTCTAGTTTGGCTTGGCACCCTTTGGTTCCAACTCCCAGCTAACTTACATGGCCCCGCCTTGACTGAATAATATCCTTTGGGCTCCTCCCCCCTTCTAGACAAAGTATGATCGAAAAGATTATTCAGCTGGCTATATTGCATAATAACTCGGACCAGAATAGGGCCATATCAGACCAGGGCCAATGTCGCCCATCTGCAGGTCATAATACGACGAAGATGCTTTAATCAATTCCATGTATGGGAGGTGTTAATTGATATGTATAGTTCCCATATAGTTAGTGTTACAGCCACTAATACTTGTCTTGGAAACGGTGATAAAACGGTCTCGCCAAACCAAAGCCCAGCTTAACCGTAGCGGGACCCTGGGCCTGACTAGAATCGCGGAGCCCTTTTCAATGGCACGCATGCGTAACACACAATTAAACGGTCTGTAATACAAGAATAATTACATAATATCTGATCACATACGAAATCTATTCAGTTCCGAATGGCATACAATGCGCGGAAATGACATATAACTGTTATACAAGTGAAATCACTGGATTGAGTTGTTACAGAGTTCAGAACAATTTGCGTCTTTGTTTACGACTACTGAACCGCGGGGGTCCCTAAACCGCGGGGCCCTCGGCCCCCAAGGCCCATACCTAAGCGGAGTTTTGTGCCAAACTAATATTGGTAAGACGTGTGGTACCTCCAAGAAGTCGTGTATATAATCAATTCTACTTTTTAGAGATAAGAATATCGATGATCCCAAATCAGGACGAAATAAACACTTACTACTGAATTGTGGACCCCGAACCACATCCAATAATTTATATTAAACAAATGGAAGGTAATATTTTGCGAAGATTGTCACAAGCTAATCAATACACGCACAGGAAACATTATCAGAATACCAGCCACCGTTTTTAACTAAACTAATTCGCAATCGA